AACCAGGGTTTACACTTCTCTTCCCAACTGTCACCAAAGTGGTTACAGTACTTGAAAAAGACATTGTAACAAATCTTTATTTTAAAATAGCCAAGGTGAAGACTGCACCTTTTTTTCTTTAAACAGCTTTGTTTATTTCTTTTTTTAATCAGAATCGTGAGTAGATCAATGGACCGTGGAAGTCCTTAAGTGGTGGTCTCCTGTCTATCTTTTTTCAGTGTTTGTAATACAATAGTACTCATTGTTTCTCATCTGAATAGATTAAAATCCTATAATACTCAACATGAAACATAGCAACTCCTAAGAGTTTGGAAAAGCTGAGCCACTGTTTTTTTTTTGAGGAAGATTGGCCCTGAGCTAACATCCATTCCCATCTTCCTCTACTTTATATGTGGGACACCTGCTACAGCATGGCTTGATGAGTGGTGGTAGGTCCTTATTTCTGCACCAGGGATCCGAACAACCAACCCCAGGCCACCCAAGTGGAGCATGTGAGCTTTACCCCTATGCCACGGCCAGCCCCCAATTCGTTCCATCCGCACTTGTGAGGCTACATTTTGTGGTGACAAATGGAGTGGCTCAAGAAACGCCTGAGAGGACTCCTTTCCTACATGACCAAAGTATATAAAATCTGCTACAAAATCTTAGGTTTAAATCCTTCTCATCAGACCCCCAAAATAACACTTTATTTTTTAATTATTTTATTTTTTAAAATATTGATCAAAAAACAACCTGTCCCATTTTACAGATCCTAGGGATAGATCTTTCTCTTTTCTGAGCATTTGAACCCACCCTTACTGCAACGGTCTTCTCAGTCTCTTTCCCTTTAGTGGCACCAAGTCTACTTCGCCTTCAGTGGTGTAAAAATTTCAACAAAATCATTTTCACTGGGGTTGTCACAACTGTACCCACTTCTCTCAAGCAAATGAGTCCATTTACTCCTGTTGACAGCCTTCTCCATTCTATCTTACCTGATATGGGATGAATGAACGTACTGGCTAATGGAAACTGACTTTGTTTTTTTCCAATTTCCATTCCAAATCTCCTGGATCAGCATTCCAAGCCATGTCTGAATATTTAATCCCTATGAAGACAGAACTCTTGGGGAGCCTTCCAAGACATCTCCTATGCTGCTCTCCAAACCCACTAACTTATCCTACCTCTGCTCTTAGATAGTTAGATTCTCCATGATTATGGATGAAGGAAAGTTATGGTCTCCAGCAGAAACTCTCAGTAAGTAGGAGTCATGACAGTTGGCTGCGCAACCAGACAAGAGGAACACTGCAGAGAAACCTAAACATGACTGTGCTGTTGTTTAAAAGAAAAGTAACGTATGCCTAGTAGGCATTATGATTTTCTTCACCATGAATGTCAATTGATACTTGCTCCATAGCTTATGAAGTTTTCAATTTGGCTAGTTATATTTATGTCATATAAAGTAAGGTTCTTAGGGCTATTGGTAAACAAAGCATAATCCTCACGCTCCCTGTGTTACAATTATCACTATTTTACAGACCACTTTAACGGGGATATTTGAATACTCAAATAAAAGGGAAGGAGCAAGCAGAGCCACAAAACTAGCAAGTCCTCTCATAAATGAGTTGTGATTAAAAAAAGATTGAAGTTCTAGTACCAAATTATCTATGATACTTTCCAACCCTCAAATCAGAGCCAAAGGGGAAAGATAATTAGGTGGCAAGAAAGGAAGTTCCCACTATATGGGTATTACCAAATAGGTCACACAACCTCTGAAGCAGCTTTTTTATTGTGTTTGTGGTCATCATGTCCCAATGTGAGATAGGACACATTTAAGACTTCCCATTATTTTTGTAAACAGCACATGGAATACAAACCACTGATCAAGCTTATTAGTACTTTCGTTTTTTTGCTGGAGATGAATATTTAGAAACAGTTCTTCCACTAGAACATTATGCTAAGATCTTGGGCCCATGTGAAAGGCAGAATCAGGCCAGCATTGTGTGTGCACAGGTGGCTCTTGGAGACTGGCCAGTCTTTTGTTCTCTTCTGCACTTTTGCCGGTCTTTTAATAACTGTATTTTAAGGAAAACAGAGTGTTCATGTTTCTAACTCACTTACGCTTAAATGTTAATATTCTGTAAGAGTTAGTTGATTTCCAAGATAGTTTTTGTACTAATGTCTTAAAACGAAGAACTTGAATTTGGCCCATTATAAATTATTTTTAACACTCTGACCCACTCTTCTCCCTGCAATGTACAGAGTTTGAGTCATTTTAAACATAGTGAAAACATTTCCATAACCCTAATTTTACTTTTTAATATATTAATCTGGTGTTAAAATCTAGCTAACTATAATGTAATTTGATCAGCCTTTCTTTAATCTTTTCACATGCTCAACCAAAATAGACTATGAATTTAGACTATAATTTTAGAAGCAAATTAGCAACCACAATGTGGAAAACCAACAACATTTAATAAAAAAACATGTTTTCTGATTTCAAGTTTTGAATTGACATCTAAACTGTACATTAGTGAAATAGCCAAATACTTCATAATCTTTACTTCAATTGCTATGCAATATGATGGCTTAAAATAAAGTTTAACTCTTTTAATTTATTGTTGTAATGTTGAAAGCTTTACAATATTTATTTTAGAAAGATTGGACATGTGGCAACTTAAAAAAGAACTAGATGACTCAACAATTATTCATAAATTAAACACCTTCCATCCACTTTAAACTGTATTCAGATTTTTAGCTCCTAGAATTCCTAGCTGTTGTATTTTTCCTGGAACTCACAGAAAATGCCATTAGTAGTTTTCACATCGTCACTCAGAACAGTGGAGCAGTCTAGGACATGTGTTTATTTAAGCATTGATAACTTCAGTGACATCAGTTATATCGATATTTTCCTATGTGGAAATTTGAATAATTAAATGTCAAATCTCTCCAGTGTTTCCATGTTGCTATTCTCTGAAGAAACCATATGCTAAACATAGTGATATCTATATCCATATAAAGATGATTATGCAAGTTATAACTAGCTACTATGGTAGTTCCAGCTACTATGATTATGCAAGTTATAACTATAACTATGGTAGCCCCATGTAACCTCTGAAAAAAAATTAACCAAACTTAAACAAAAGTGAAATTAAAAAGACAATTTGTTCAGACACCAGACAGAAATAAAGCAGATTCTTTTCCAGCAGTAACTGTTACTTTGTATTAAAATACCCAATTTCCAGAAATACTAGGTTGGGGATAGTTAAATCTGAACCTCTGGGAGTGGGTCCCAGGTATCAGTATTTTTTCAAAGCATCCCAGATGATCCTTCCGCGAAGGCAGACTTGAAAATCACTGAGTTACAGGAATGGAAATTAGAAACTAAATGCAGGCTGGAGTCAGATTACAGAAAAAACCAGCTGTAACATGGTTCAGTGCAAGGCTCTGACCGCAGTCTCAGAAGCCTGGGTGAGAGCACATCAAAATTAGTTCTCATACCTATGGTACTAAATTCTAAGGCTTTTTTTGAAAGCAGATAACTTGAATAATAGTTTCCCATTTCTTTACAGGCCTGACTATATCTTAGGCTTGACAAAGCCTCTGTTTATTTCACAAATATTTATTGAGTTCTAGGCAGTCTCTTAGGCACAAAATGACCTGGAGCAGAGAAAGCCTAGCCAGAGGCCCATAAACCATCTGTACCAACCATTGTACTTTCTAAAAGACATTGACAATGATAATCATGTGGAATTTCTTTCCTGGGTTATTGACCTTTACAGTGGTAACATTGCTACCATCACTATTCCTACAATGTCAATTTCTGTGATTTATATACATAATTAGTACTGATGTGATTTTTAAAAGATAGCCAGGAGTCTACTCCCATGAAAAAAAGCCTCAGTTGGAGAGTTATAAATATAGTAACAAAATCATAAGAAACATCACATAACTAGTCATACAGGTAAATATCTTAGTGTAGTCAGAGATGAAGCTAACTTACTGCAGGACAAAACAAGGAGAAGCAAATAAATGAACACTTTATGCTCTTTAGGGTGGCACTTTGAGTTCTGGCTTCTGGATTGTTAGTTTGGTTCAGGAATGGTTTAGTCCACCAGGAAGTATTTTCTGGTGGTTATAATTGTTGTAAGCCTTCTCTTTTTTTCAGAAATCTTAGAAAAATAGAGCATAAGGTCATGGGAGTCTCACTGGAGGTGGGGGATGAGGGTAGGGAAGTCTTTCCTGAGGAGGTGCTACTTGACCTGAGTTTTAATAGAAGAATAGAAATCAGTTGAGTAAAAAAGAATATGTGGGTGGGTAGGGAGGATAATATTTAAGGCTATGGGAACAGCATACGTGAAGGCTCAGAGGTAAAACCCAACAGATTGTTGGGGAATTTCCAAGTAGTTCAATATGACTAGAGCATAGGAGGTATACAGGGTGGGCTGAGAGTTAAAGCCACAAAGTAGACTCTGGAGGCACTAAAAAGGCTTTGGTAATTTACGCCACAAACTCTACATAATCCTTGAAGTATCTTAAGTAGTAGGAGAACAACAAAAGATTTGTATCTTAGATTCAAAGAATTATTTGGGGAACTCTAGCTCTAAGGATAGGAGCTCTAGGATTGATTGTGGGGAGGGGTCGTGGGAGGGAAGCAGACTGGAGACCAGCTGGAGGCCAGCTGAACTCAGGTATGGTGGTAGGGATGGAGAAAAGGTGTTTATTAGATATCATCTAGAAAAATGTGTTTATTAGCTATCATCTCAGTCAGGGGGCTGGATGAGAAGGAGGAAGGCAACTTCTAGGGTTCTGGATAGACAAACTGGTAAGTGATGACACCTTTTTATGGAAATAGGATATGGAGGAGAATTAGTTCTGGTGGAGAGGAAATGAATGAAACATTAGATACAGTTTTAAGTTAGTTGAGAAACAGGAAAGCCATTGTCTCTCAAATTCTGAACCAAAAGTTCTTTTGAGAACCCAAGTATAAGAACGTTCTACAAAAACAGCTGACCTATACTCACCAAAATGCCAAGGTCATGACAGGCAAGCAAAGATTGAAGAAAGCTTCCAGATTAAAGAAGACTGAGGAAACTCAACAGCCAAATGCTCTCAGGTCCAGGACTTCCTTTCTCTACAAAGGACATTATTGACACAGTTGGAAAATTTTGAACATGATCTGTTGATTAGCCACTAGTACTGTATCAATACCATACTCATATGTATTAATTTCCTGATTTTTGGTAATTGTACTACTGTTATGTAAGAAATGTTCTTGATTTTTAGGAAATGTACACTGAACTACTGGGGGAAAAGGATGTCATACATGCAACTTACTCTCAAATGGTTCAGGAAAAAGAATAACGTATATCTGAGAAAGAGCGAATTATAAAGGAATATGGTCAAATGTTAATTTTTGAGAATCTGAGCAAAGAGTATATAGGAATTCTTCGTTCTATTCTTGCAGTTCTTCATAAATCTGAAATTATGTCAAAATGAAAAAAAGTATTTCATTAAAAAGTTCTTTTGAAATATTTAAAATTTTTAGAAAAGTGTAAAGAATAACATAAACACATCCAACTAGAATAAGTAGTTAATATTTTCCTACTTACTTTCAGTCACTTTTGAGGCAAAATATTACCTCGTAACATTTTATGTAGGAAAACATTATTGTGTGTGAAGGCATATTGCAGAAAAGGAGGAGAACAGCAAAGCTGGTAGACTAAAGTAGGTTTAATCATCCCTTAAATTAAGAAATTAAGATTACATTCTGTGAAACCTGCAGTAAAGCTAAAGCTTAGAGCATAATTTAGTTATTTTGCAAAAGACCCAAGGGGTTAAATTTTTATTTTAGTTTCTATAGAAAAGCAAAAATATCAGTTCTTTCCATATATTAGCAAATGAAAAGAAGGTACTTTATTTGTTGTCTTGATTTGATTGGAATCCACATAGAAAAGTCACTTCAAAGGTGCCATTTAATTGACTGGCTACTAGCAGAAACCTTTCAAGAGTCTCTTAAAAAACAACAAATAGTACAGATGGGTAAATATTGACAGAACATGTGATACCAAATGCTAAAACCAATGATAGAAGTTATATCCTAGGTTTGCAACCAAGGTTCAATTTTGCACTTATCTTCTCCCTCTGGGTTCCTGGCCACCTTCCTTTCTAGGAGGGGTGGGAGTCACTGCCTCGTGCTTGCTGGGCACAAGGTGGAAGCCAGGAGACTGGATCTGAAAAGAAATTTGGGATGGACACATGACACTACCCTGGCCATTCAGGATGTCTGTCTCCTTCAAGTATCTTTATCCAGATACTCATCTTTAAGGCGTTTAATCTTACTTTGCTTGGTAAACAGAAGAAAGGCCAAGGGAAGGATAGGAATCCAAGACCAGTCAGCAAATCAAAACAGCGTAAACACAAGAACAAATGGAACAAATCCATGTGACCCTGTGTGAAGGAGCAATTGTTCCCAAGGGTGGATCCCAGAGCAAAGGGCTCGGCCCCTCTGTGCAGAGAAGGGAACTAGAGGTCCTGGGAATCAGAGGTGCCGGCTCACCCACATCCACTGGCTGCTTCGCTTTTCTCTCTCTGACTCTTTCCTTTTATTTCTCCCTGTGCTCTCTCACTTTTCATTATTTTCTTTCCCCTCTTAAACTGCCCCACCAAAATAGGTTAGCTCTCCTTGAAAGACTGTGCTACAGAGGATGCTGGCACTTGTACCCTAATCTCTCTTTGGGAATTTACGAGTGGTTTCTCAGATTTCTTTTGGTTCCTCCTTTTGTCAGGCAGAGAACAGATCCTAGGTGACATGGTAATGACCTTTCCTCCTACAACCTCTTCAATGCGAAAAAATAAAAGATTCCCTTTGGCATTCAGAATAAGTCTCCTCAAAGTATATCTTCAAGTTGTAACTAAGACTTCTCAGTCTAATTGAATAAAATTATTTTTCAATAATTTTTATGTCCCTCTGTGGAAAAAAAAATACCATCATTATTGAGTATTGTGCACATTCCTCTTTTTATTGAGGAAAATCATGACTAGTAGGGAAAGCAAGGTATCATAAGATTTACATGAAAAGAGTCGGGGGGAAAAGCAGTTAGAAACACAGGAACTTCTGCTGAACTAGTCTCTTTCCAACTGAAAACAACGGCTACTAATGTAGACTGACATAAAATATCCTTATATGCCAAATGTATCTGTTTACCCATGTTGCAGTGTAGGCCGTAACATAAAGGATGTCTAGAGGCCATGGTCTCCAACTCCACTGAAATTTATATTCCAAAATGTTTTATGACATCATTAAAAATTAAAGAAACATTTAGTAAAATTATAGGAAGTGTATATATACTTATATAGAAATACATTCGAGGAGATGGTCACCTAAGTATGAATAGTGTTTATCTCTAGGTAGTGATATTTTATATAATTTTTTACAACTTTGTTCTTTATGTGTTTATATATTTAAATTTTTAATTATAGTATTCATTATTCTTATAATCAAGGAAAATAAAATTCTTTATTTTCAGATTGAAAAGTTCATGAAACATTTTAAACACCAATTATTTCTTAAAGTTGAAAGTTATATTAGATACAGTATCTATTTTTTTAATGCAAATTCATTTATAAATGAAGTAACATTGAAATTAATTTTTTATTACTCTCTAATACTTAGCTTTTTAAAATACTGAGCATTTGTGAAATTCCTGTCATTAAATACAGCCTCCTGTGTGCAAGCAGAGTTGCTATGGTGCCATCGCTTGTACTTGCATCTGACACTTCTGCGTTAGAGGTTTATAACTTCATATTATCTCATTCCAATTGAATATTTTAAAAAGTGCTTTGGATTAGCTGCTATGGGACCCAAAGGACTCTTGTATCATTTTCTCAACAGACCACCAGTCAAAATCCTCAGTGGGCTTACGAGCAGAATCCAGACCCATCTCAGCCCCCATCCGCTCCCACCTACCATCTGGATCTCCCTGCAGTGATGGGAGCAGCAGGAGAAAGCAGAAAGAAACATCTCCCCGCCCCCACCCCCTCCACCATTAACTGCTGCAACCACCAGAAGCAGGATCTAGAAAAAGAAGCCCCGAAGTCATGATTTTCCTCCATTTTCCGCACCTTGCTGACCTGACAAGAACTTTAAGAGATCCTGTAAGTCCCTTTCAAATAGAAAATCTATGAATCTACAAATTATTAATAAGAAAAGTCGGCCTTCAAATGGAATGTTTTACCCCCTCTTATGAGGATTAGGGATTCAATTTAGATTAACTTTTTGATGGTAGATGTATGAATAAATTACCAACTCAATCCCTACCCCTCCCCCATTTTAAATGAATTTTTTAAGCTCTGAGGTTCTTCTCATAAAACATCTTTCAAGCAATTTAGTAGTATCCCACAGCTTGTTGACTTCTCTGGGATTTGATCCAACAATTATTCTCTCTCTGTCTCTGCCTCTGTCCCTCTCTTCTTCAATTCTCCCTTGGTTGTAGTTTATAAATGAGTTCAGCTCTTCCCATGCTAAAAGAAGCTTACTACTATCTCCCACCTACAGCTACAACCCCACCTTTCTCTTCCCTCCCAGCCACCCTTACCTCCTATTCTCTTCATCACAGGTTGGCTGTTTCTGCTGTCACTCTGCTGAAGCTACTGTCCTTACGGCCAACAATGGCCATTGTCTAAAGACAAAACCAACATTCATCTTGCTGCATCATTTTATTTTGCTCATTTTTCTTCCCTTCTTAAACTTTACTTTCATCAGGATCATGGACTCTAAATTCTCCTTGCTTTTTCCCATTCCTCTAGACTTTCGCTGGTTTCCTGTCTTTTGCCTATCCCTAAATATTGGTGTTTTCTTCCTCTTCCTGGGCATCTCACCCAACTGATATGGGTAACCACCTCTATATACCTCCACTTCTCTTCTTTTTAATTTCCCAATGGATATTTCTTCTTTACTCAAACATTCACTGAGTCTATAAACCGCACCAAATAAGAAATAAAAATAACTAACCCAACTACTACTCTTTCTTCATCCATTTACTTATTTTTCTGAGTCTACCTTTTGTTCAAAGATAGAAATCTTATCACATTAATCCTGAGCATTAAAAAATTCAGGGTCTCCCTAGGGCCCTAATGAAAAATCCAGAATGCCAATTCTGGCTTTCAGAGTCCTTCCTCTCCAGCCTACCTCTCTAGCTTCATTTTCTTCATCTCTCTCTTCTTATGCTCCCAAACCTGCCAACGAACCATACATATGGTGTGCTCCCAACCACATCATCTTTTTGTCTATCACTGGGTTTCACCATATGGTTTTTCTTGAGCTGGAATGCCCTTCCTCTCTCTTTTTTCTTCACCAGCTCAATTGTTTTTTCTTAAGCTAAACTTTTCTACTTCCTTCTTATTCTTTTTTTTTTTTCCACACTTGTTGATCTTTAACACAACATTTTCACTGTATTGCAAATCTTGAGGGAACTGGGCCTCCCCAGTGCCTGTGTCTATGTGTCTAATACAATTCCTGATACACAATCAGACTGTTCAAATGTGATGAAATTAACTACACATTTGAGCAGACAGAAGTTTGAGTGGACAGAAAAATGAGAAAGCTTAGAGTTCAAGTGAATAAATATGTCTTTCATTTACATCTGGGTACCTAATTTCCATGAATTACTTATAACAACCATGATTAATATGTTTCATTATATGACTCTCTACTCTCTCCCCAATCCAAAACTGTTCAACAGGTGAAGTATGCCTTTGGCACCCCCCTAATATTCCCTAGCTTTGGCTCCATTTCTCTCTTCTTGACATTCTTCTCACCACTAAGCACTTACCCAGTGCCTCAATCTTGTACTTAACTGAGCACAGAAGTAATTCAGATTACTAAATTAAAACAGAGGTTTACTTCATATTTGTGGCAACCTAATGGTAGTGGAGTGGGTAAATAATTGTAACCAGCATTTATTCACTCATCCTTCTACCTCACTTCAGTGACTGCAAAGTAATACACTCAAAACATATTGGACTGAGACAGGTACAGGAAGGTATTTATGATAAAGATTAAAAACTCTCTATTTTGATGCATACTTAGCAAAAATATTTGCAGCAAGTTTTCAGATCTTTTTACTTTCTCTT